AATTTTTTACTCCTTTCTAGCATGATCGAAATTTTGGTTAAAATCTTGTTTCTTTTTGTTTTATTTTTTAACGAAAACGGCGAATTAGAGAAAAAATGTTTGTTTTATTTTGCGCTTTTTCGGAGGAAAGCACACATTAATTTGGAAATTTTTACGAAATTCAAATAATCGTCGGATTTTAATGAAACTTTCAGGACATATTCAGAAATGAATGCAATTATTTCTGAAATTCTTATTTTTAGAAAATCTTGGTACTTTTTTTTTACATATGTTACAACCCACTTACATAATTAAAATTTCGAGAAATTAAATTTTTAAGTGGGGAATTTTTTTCTATTAGTTAAAAACAGGACTCTTTGGAGAAAGTAAATCACCAATGAAATCTTCAAGAATGCTTTTTCATTTATAAATTTAATTTTAAAACTTAAGTATTGAAAATTAAGTGGAGGTGCCTATACTACTATAATAATTATAAATTGTTATTTTTCTTATACTGATGTTAATGCTTAGTTTATAATTTAGGAAAAATGAGAAATTAAAATAATAATAATAATCAAATAGAAGAATTATAGCAATATACTCTAATAATATATGACAGACGGAAGACTTGTTGTTGCTATAAATTGTATTAAGCACAATAAGATATTAACAAAAATACTTAATTATAAAATGAAACAGTTATAACAATATACACTCGTCCTGGGTAAGACGTTAAACTACATTCGCGTCCTGGGCAAGAGATTAAACTACATCCAGCAGCAAGGCCTCTGATCAAGATGTTTTGAGGAGCGTGGAACAACCTCTTAATTGCTGCTGTTCCCAGGCCCACCCTGACCCGGGGTGGTAGCAACTGTTAGGGTCCAAGCTACGGGCAAATAGTTAACTATTACCAGCAATACTTCTTCGAAAATATTATTACTAGCAATACAATTTTGAAGGAAATATTTTTCCCAGAAAACGATTTTTGACAAAACAAAATATTACCAGCAATAAAAATTTTTGTCAGTATTAAATAACCCATTGAAGTTGATACGCCGTAAAACAAAATAAACCAAACCAATCTAAAGAAACGAATACATATTCTATTCATACGAATCAACCCTAAAAATGTTGTCGGCATTAAATAACCCATTGAGGTTGATATGCCGTAAAACAAAATAAACCAAACCAATCTAAACCAAAGAATACATATTCTATTCATACGAATCTATCCCAAAAATGTTGTCGGCATTAAATAACCCATTGAGGTTGATATGCCATAAAACAAAATAAACCAAATCAATCTAAACCAACGAATACATATTCTATTCATACGAATCTATCCTAAAAATGTTGTCGGCATTAAATAACTCATTGAGGTTGATATGCTGTGAAACAAAATAAACCAAACCAATCCAAACCTATATACACTAATCAAAGTCATGTGTCGAATACAAGATTCCATCTTATTGTTAATATTTATAAACATGGGTTATTTAATGCCGAAAAGTTTGTTTTTTTATTGCTGGTAATGTTTTTTCCAAATATGTATTGGTAGTAATTAATACCTATTTTTACACTTTCATAGTATTTTGACCACAGTTTGGGATTTAATTATTTTCCCATAACTGGAGCCCTAACACGCGCTGACGCCCTGAGACCTGGGAACACCAACAATTAAGAGGTTGCTCCACTCTCCTCAACGCCTCCTGATCAGAGGTCTTGCTGTAGGATGGATTTTGTAGTCTTACCTAGAACAGAATTAGCTCTGATTAAATTTTTAAATGTGACTCTTAATTTTTGACAGGACATAATTTGTTTTCGTCGGAAATTTAGGTTATTGACCTGGTTTATGTTGTTCAAAACTAGATATATATTTGGGCAGATCTCATGTCAACAATTGTCATCATTGAGTACAGAGACGTATGACGAAAATATGGCCTAGAGCTAAGAAGCTCGAGTGAGATTATTCGAGGTGAACTTATTCAAAGTGTACCCAATTATAAGACACTTCAGTATAACGATATAGAAGCAAATATCTTTACGGGGTAAATGGAGAGGAAGGGGGATATGAATGTTTGAATTGGAAGGTAGTAGTTTGCAAGTTAGTAGCAGTTAAAAAATAGTGAGTTCGATTTTCACATTTCGCGGAATATTTTTTTTTCTTGTTTTCCTTCTAGAGCCCTTGACTAAAATTATCTTTCAACATTCTTTTTATTTATTTGTTATAATTTTTATCGGCTGATTGAAACTTATTTTAGTGGAAAAGCTTTTTTATTGGCCCAATACAAGGACAACGAGCCACTTAAGGTAATGGCTTACTGAATGAGGTCGTTTTATGAAGGTAAAAAGAGGAGGTAATATCATGAGAATATGCAGGAAAAGTAACGATTGACCCAGGAAATGAAGAGGTTAAGACAGTGATTCTGAACCGGCAGGCCACGAAAAATTGTCATATATATATATATATATATATATATATATATATATATATATATATATATATATATATATATATATATATATATATATATATATATATATATATGTGTGTGTGTGTGTGTGTGTTACAAGAAAGATAATAGGAAAAACATCTTAGATCTTGCTGGATATGCTATCCTGGAAATTTTACTATATCTATAGTGGAGTAATGGATAGTGGCTTGGTCTGAGGAATCAGAGAGCCGAGTTCGAATTCCAGTTGAATCCATTACATTCACTTACGTGCTAATACCTTGGGAAAGGTGTGAATCCTCTTCGTCTTCTCTCTTCAGCTATGGGTAAATAGCAGGACAGACTGGATTCTATAGCCTTGGATGGCAACTAGTCTGGGAGAAGTAAACCTGCGGGCGGTGGGTCGTTTGGGGACCTTGTGGCACTTAGTGCACCGGGTCTCTGTATTCGGCCCTTCAAAAAGTGTGGATGGTCCTGCACGAAACCTTCACCACTATAATCAAATCTCATGTGTTGTTGTCGGGCTGTAGGTTTCCTGGGAACTGATCTGCTTGACCCTCATACGTCGAATTCGACGGGAGAGTCGAGTATATATATATATATATATATATATATATATATATATATATATATATATATATATGTGTGTGTGTGTGTCTGTGTGTGTGTACCTGTGTTTGTGCGTGTTCCTAATACAACATTGATGTGTGTGTAATTATGTGCCTATATATACAGGGTGTCCATAAAGTTCGTGTTCACTTTAAAAAAGTTATAACTTTATTTGTATTTGCGATAGAAATAATTTGTAAAAAGGATTAGAATAAAGTAAATCTATATTTTTTAAGATTTTATTGAAATTTTATTTAAGTTTCCACATGTACTCCATCATTAGCAATACAAAGGGTAATACGATTCTGCAGTTCACGGAAAACATTTGCCAACTGATTTACAGTAATGCCTGAAATCACATTAGTTATTTTAGCTATACTTAAAACTAGGTACATTAAAATTTATAACATTTTTTACAGATTATTTCTATCGCACATACAAATAAAGTTATACATTTCTTAAATCCCACACGAAATTTATGGACACCCTGTACATATATATATATATATATATATATATATATATATATATATATATATGTGTGTGTGTGTGTGTGTGTGTGTGTGTGTAAGTAGTAATGGTACAGCATTTAATTGAATAAATGAATAAGTATTAAACTTTTATTTCAAATAATTCTTTTCACCATGTTTTTTTTAAATACTTTGTTTTTTAACTTTTTAAAATGTTCCTTTATTTGGATAAATGAATATTAACCCTTTTTTTCATATAATTGTATTCAACGTTCTTTGTTCAAATATAAATGTACTCCCTTGAAAAGTTTTCCTAAATGGTCTGTGATATTTTCTTTTACTCCTAGGTGTGTCATTGCTTAAAAAGTTTGAGACACACTGGATTAAGATATTTATGATTTAAAATAATAGCGATCGGGGATTATAGTCTCGTTTTTTTTTGTTTTTTTTGTTTTTGTTTTTTTCAAGTAGCAGTTATTTAGAAGAAGCTATTCAAATGAAACTTATTTCTTACTCGTGGGATACGAATGGAATGTCACTTAACTGTGAAGGTCTGAATTGGTAGATCTAATGAATAAAGTTCTCAAAATATTTACCATGGAAAAGAGTATATTCCTCCTATATGCTTTACAATCTTCTCACAGGGGAAGGAGAGAATTGAAGCAACAGAAATATCGTTCTACAGAAGGATAGTCCGAATTCCATAGTGCGAAAATGTGATCATCTGCGAAGTTCTAGAGAAAATGGAAACAAAATGACACTTATACTTAATATCAGAATGAGACAGTTGAAACTATTAGGGTATATAAAGGTGAGGAAAGAGGATTTGGAAAATTTGATACTCACAGAACAGACTGAATATAAAAAGAACAGCGGAAAACAACATATAACCTACCTTACGAGTTTGAGTAAATGGGTGGATCTAACTAACGCCTTTATCCACTGTGCCGTGTGCCCTTGAGATCCAGTGACAGGACCCAAAGAGTCTCAGGTCAATACCCGGTCAAGGCAGTGCAGAACTTTCAGAGGGAACTTAACATGAGATAACTCATAACTGACATCCATTAGACATGGCACGTGGAACTAGAACAGTCTACCCCAGTGAGCAAAATAAAGGATTCAGTTTGACATCCCAACCAACTGAAGAAGGCCGGTGCGTACAACTGTCGAAATGTTGTAATAAATATGGCGACAAAGATGAGGACAATAGTCTGAATAATATAAATAGTATATTTTCAAATATATTTTGTGCATTTAGATCAGTTTTGTTTATCGTTATTACCTCTATGGTTTAATTTTTTTTTTTTTTTTTAGATAATAAAAGTTACAGCGATACGAGATTTACTAATTAACCCATAGCTGGGTACAGAAGATCTGGATTCCCAAGGATATTTGCGCGTAAATGAATATAAGCCAAAAGGAATTGGTATTCAGCTCCCCGTTTAACAATTCCCAGCCATTATCCATTACAAGCTGGTAATTATCTAAGCAGCTGGTAATCCCCAGTGGTCACCCATCTATGTACTAATCAGTATCGACGTTGCTTAACTTCGGTGATCGTAAAGGGAATCAGTGTTTCAACGTGATGAGGCGTTAAGCCACACTTGTGTAAATACATTCTTTAGTGATGTTTCCTTGAGTGCTGGATGCTTGTTTTTCAAACATGTCACCCCAACCAAGACAATAAGAATATTAGAAAAGAAAACAATATTAAGGAGAGAGAAGAATAAAAGAAGTGGAATTAAGTAGACAGAAGGTAACGATTGAAGATCAAGGTTGACTGAGAAGCAAGAAGCCGGAAGAGAGTTACACAAGTGAGAAGTGCCATAGAAGAAACTGTTAACATAGAACTTACGGTTACATTTAGTTATTTCGACTGTAAAATGACGAGATATTGCCGGCAATCTAGTTCTACGCCTAAATTCATAAAGTTTGTGTACCAATGAGAGAAAACTCACCAGAATAAATATCATTGGCATATAGAAAATGTAGAGGAGGTGGTGAAGTGACTAAAGTCGAGATGCCAGGTTAGGACCAATAACTTTGCAGATTCTTCTTTGTATGTCATCACAAATCTCTAATACATCGCAGATCCGATGTGACCACAAAATTCAATACATGAACGAATGGTAGACATTTAAATATGTAAGATAGATTCTGTCGTTAAAAAATCGTTTATGACGTCACTTTTCTAACAACAAACCTCGCATTTGATTCAGTTTTATCTCTCCACTTTATATCAGTGGAAAACGTTAGCGCGAGAAGTCACAATAAATGCCATTCCTGTGCGTTAGCATCAACTATGAGCATTCCGGGAGGAGGTATGGTGGAGTAATTTATAGCGGCTCGGATTGAGGAATCGGAGAGCCGAGTTCGAATTTCAGTCAAATCCATTACATTCACTTACGGGATATTATCCTTCTTCTCTCACAAGCTATGGGTAAATAGCAAGACAGACCATGTTCTGTAGCCTTGGATGGCAACTGGTTTACCACAGAAAGAAATGGCAACCTACTGCGGGAAATCTATTTGCCTCGTCAGTCATGTATCGAAAGATACATGATCGCCTAAGTGTGTATCACGTAAGGCAAATAACTGAGAGATGAGCATCAACGATGATGTCGGAAACTTCATTAATTTTATTGTATACTACTTTCTGATCCGGTTCAAGAATCACGGTTTTATGATCAACTTGTACAGCCCTTGTTTATATAAATGTTTCTCTTTTTAAAAGGTTGTCAAGATTTATTGTATATAAAATAAAATTGCTGTATAAGGCCGAAAATGGTTGGTGGGGTGAAGGTCTGAGGCTGGTCATCATTTGCTATCTTTTACCTATTTCATCAAATTCACAACCCATTCACTCGATACAATTTGCTCATCCACCAAAAGAACTTATCTCATCACTTAATCCTCCAGATACCACAATACTCCATACTCACAGAAGACTTATAAAACAACCTATGACATAAAAATTAACGATTATAAACTTCTATATATAAAAATCTGTCAATGATACGTAATGAAGATGGTGGGGAGGAATGAACCGTAAAAACAAACTAAAATATCAAAACAAATTCACAAAATAAAAAGATCACTGATGTTATTTGGATCCGTCCAACTTTTAAAAGAATGAAGAGAAGCCGCTGTATTCTGTCTTTAGAAAAAAATCAAATAGCTTTCTCGCTAATGGAGAAGGAAGGATAAAATAAATGTGGCCATGGGGAAAGAAAATGTTGACACAGTCGCGATGAAAAAAGATCGGACCAAAAATAAACTGGGGAGGTTGGGAATCTCTTTTAAAGCTTGTCTTGGCAAAAACCAATACTGATAATGTTGAGGTGTTATTTTGCTGACATTTTATTGAACGAAACAACTTGTAATGGACAAAGCTGATATCGAGAACTTTCGAAGAAACTAAATTCAACATTTTCCAAACGAATAAATTTCAATATGCGTAGCAAATTTTCATGAATATTTTTATATAAAAAGAAATTATACAAGAAGAGAAAAATATATTTATGTGCTCACAGGTAGGTGAAAAGCGAAAACGGAACATTATAGGCTTGATGTTCGAAAAATATTTCGCGTTTATGTCCGTCCGTGCGTGCGTGGTGTGCGTGCTTGCGAGTGTTTGATGCGCCAAGTGGCTAACTGAAATTAAAAAGATGGCTGCCACAGTGGCGGGAAAGTCCTATTACTTTCTCTTACACTTTCCGGAGCGCAAAGCAAAGACGTAGGTTTATTGTCCCGGACATTTTGTGCCTGTAAACACCGCCACCAAGCGCCAGTTTTAGCAGACAAAATGGGTATAATACTCACATTTCAATAAAGAGATTAAGATTTTATATATATTTATATACACACACACGCACACACACACACACACACACACACACACACACATATATATATATATATATATATATATATATATATATATATATATATATATATACATACAAATGATGAACAATTATCAATATATTTCTTTGCCTGAACAAAAAAAATGGAATGTTTGCTAGAAGGATGAATAAAATTGTTTTGTGATGCTTTTATGCGTGTTTGTAAACTAGATTTTCAGAGACTTATATTTGAGAAGTGATTTTATCTTCTGTGACGAATTAAGTAACTTTAGTTCATTGTATATTGTTGTAACATATAATCGTGTCAGCCTGATAAAAGACTCAGACTGGGTTGTATGTGGTGCTGTAAAGCACCAAGAGTTGCGTCCTCTTCCAAAATGGGCTGTTGAAAGATCTTCTACTTAGAGTAGGTGGCGCTGGCTATTTGTATTTGAACGATACTGGTCAGGTATTAGCCATTTATCAGCGTGGGTCTGGATTTGGAGAGCTATACAACCCCAGTGTTTTTTCTCAATCGAGGAGGCGCCCTCAACGTTCGAAAACCAGACAAGACGAACACAACTGTCTAACTACTCACTGTTCTATTTAATGTGACATGACGTTAGCTGTTGTCTTAAAGATCCTACAGAGAAATATTACCTCTAGTTCATTATCATTTTTGGCAAAAAGTTTGATTAATAATCTTATTAACTAGATGATACACATGACTTGCTATATTTAGTATAATTGCAGTGAGGTAATAAAAACGCTGTTAAAGACAGTTTCCTTGGAATATTCCGCTGTTAAACTAAGTTATCATTATTTTACTATGTCGTCCAAATATTAAAATAATATAGAAATAATATCGTTAAAAGCAAATAAAATATTTCTGAAATGCTTTGTAATATCCACTTCACTATTTGTCAGTGGATATTAGACAATTTCCTCACGAAGAAGTAAGCCAGCAGTTGAAATAAAATTAAGAGAACGTGTGAGTCCCGGATAAGGTTTAACAAGAATAGGGACACAAGGAAAATTAATACTGTCAATCAGAAAGCGACAGCTGAAATTTCGGTGGCACCTAGTGAGAAACGAATGCTTGGATAATCTAACATTCTCAAGACATGGTGAAAGCAAGAATGAGTAGTAGATCAGAAATGAAGAAGGACTGAAGAGAGAAAAATACTTAGAACAGCAAAAGTCATGTAAATTCTGTTTAAATTTCTAGGATGAGTTATTATTTGTACTATTTGCACTTAAACCTGTTTGCACTATTTAGACTAATTTCCTCCTGTTTGATCGTTTTATCACAGCTTTTCAGCTGTTGTGTCCTCCGGCATTCATCAAACGTATGTCAATCCGCGTAGTCTATAAGGAACTTTGAACTGAACCATGAAAAACAAGTAACTGTAAAGAACTTTGATCGCCTACGTCCTGAAAAACACTTGTCATATAAATGTAGAATCATATCTAGCGTTTGTAATATTTGTAAAATGGAATCAGTTGTAAATCCAAATAGCCATAACCAATATTGCGTGAGAAACGTTTATCTTTCAACATAATCTCCTTCTTAGTAAAAACATTTCATGCACTGTCAAATATTGGTCACATTTATCGAACGGTGGACATTTTGCCATCAAAATCCAGCAAATAACGACGTGTCAGTCTGCATATTTATTGAACCCCTTTGTATATCCCGAGAGTTGAGGTCTTAGCCAGAAACAAAATATTCCATACTCATGAATGGGTTAAATAGGCAGATGTTTCTTAATTTTACCCCATAAACTTTTCTGTATGTTCAGTCGAGGCTTAAAATCCTTTTTCTTCTCTCTCTTCTTTCAGTAGATCAAGATCTTCAACGACAAGCCATTGATATGCGCATCTTTAAGGACTGAAATAAAACATCCTGCCTTTTCCTACAATCTGATTTTTTTTTTTTCTATTTAACATTTGTTTGTTTATTTCTCTCTTTTGGCTGCAAACGAAATTTGGGCGGCACTGCGGAAGAAAGCGTGCTTGACATCTCATCAAGTGGAGTCGTTTTATTTCAGAAAGAATCAAAAAAAAAAAGGACAAAAAAAAACATCAAATTAAGCAAAAGGAAAACTGCTCATTGATCTTCGTTTTCCCTGCCGTTTGTCCCTGATCCAAGTTAAAGCTCCAATCATGTGCAGGTTAGTATCGTTTGCCTTCAGCTCTACAAGAAGCTTTTCTTTTCTTTCCTTTCTACCTCGCATTTCTTAAATCGCTATTTTTCAGCATCAACATTTCGGCCTTTTTTCTTATCTGCTTTTAATGGCAGCCAAAGTTTCAAGTCTTCTTCTTCATCATTTGTATTCTCGACATTTTCATTTTTTTTTTGCCAGTTCCATGCCAAATATCTCCTTCGTTTCTGTCATTTTAATTGCTCCATTTTTTGTCCCTGTCATCTCTCCCTTGCAATAAGTTTTCTTTTATTCTTCTTTAGTTCCCCACTCTCTCGTCTTTCTATTTTTTCCTTCTTTTTACCATTTATTTTGAATTCCTTTTCGCCCTAAATTCTACAATGTACATTTTAACTGTTCATGCTATTATTCTCAAGGAGAAAAAAAAAAAGAATCCACAGAAAGAAGCTGTTTCAGGGCCTTAAATCAAATCTTATGTTGGGGACATGTTGAGTAAAATGCTATCTCAGATTATTTCCCTATCTGAAGTGTAATATGAGTCCGAGGAATTTCACGTGCTTTTGTGAATATGG